TGTGAATAAGTTCATCGTATCACTTTTTAGATTTCACATAGAAGCGTATCGTATGGCATTTGTCTTCCTCTGTCTGAGTTACTTCACTTAGTGTAATCATCTCCAGGTCCACCCGTGGTGCTGCAAATGGCGTTACTTCATTCCTTTTTGTGGCTGAGTGGTATTCCGTGTATGAATACACCACATCTTCTCTAACCGGCCATCTGTCGATGGACATTTAGGTGCTTCCACATCTTGGCTGTTGTAAACAGTGCTGCTGTGAACATGGGGGGGTCTTTTTGAATTAGAGTTTTCTCCGGGTGTGTGGTGAAAGGGCCCTTCTGTGATGGAAGAAGGCAAGAGGCACTGGAAGCACGCACCCTCTTGAAGCGTGGAAGCGTTTCTGAGGCAGAGAACTGTCCTCGAGCCACACCCCCTCCCGCCCAGGTCCTAGTCACTCCGTAGGTTCCAGGCGTGCAGACTCGGCGAGGCAGCTCTGCCCCATGGGGAGACGAGCTTTCCTCTCTCTGTTTACCCTCCGTGCCCACTGGTGAGGCCCAGGCTTGAGTGCAGGTAAACTAGGCCCCAGGTCACCCATCTGGGGTACCCCGGGGGTACACGAGGCTTTCCGAGGGCTGTGTGGCGGGGCGCTGAGAGTGTGCGCTGCCCTGGAGGGTGGATTTGAACTGACCTGTTTCAGAGTGAGCCCCTCCTGGACCTGCAGCAATTTGAAGTGGTTCCATTCACCCCCAACCTGCGGTTGTAGGTTCACACAAGGAAGTGTGTCCAAGGAGATACACTTTCAAGGTCCAAAATGTCCTAAAACAGATCTGCCCAAGAGAGTGCCGGCTTCTGCTTCCTGACTGCTCCCACTTTCCCAGTCGTCCAGGGGAGAACTTCCCTGTACTTTCTTCGCCGCCTCCACCACTGTTGTGCAACTATTATCAAACAGGGGGTCAGTCTTGAAGGAGAGCCCCACCAAGGCAAGCGGGGAAGTTGTGACGGGAGTGGCGCAGTGTCTCATCAGCAATGAATTCGTGGCAAATCCCGTGTCTTCTCTGTCTTGGAACTGGAACCCAGAGAGATAGAGACGTTTTCTGACAGAGGGCAGTGTGGTTTGGCATATTAAAATATTAACAGTATTTCAATTTCCCCACCTTTCTCAGTGTATTGGGTTGAACAAAGGGCTTCGAAGTGACAGAATAACACATCTTTAATAGTCATTTGATAAGGCCTAGTAAAGTGTTAGCAGTATGCTGTCCAGATACTGAGAAATTGAATGAATTTAATACTGGGTTACAAAGCCCTTTGCAAGTCAGGTATTTTCCAATTCATTGCTTTTAAAGAAATTGAAGGAGGAGTTAATTGAATTGTCAGCTGTGAGATCATTAAGATAATGTTTGAAGCTGTATTACTATGCAGGCTTTGGCACATATCTTGGAAGGGGTTCATAGAATTGAGTGGCGTTGCTATAGAAGGTTTTCACTTCTCCTTGCTCACATGAGCGAGGTTTCTTTCAAAGCAAAAGTAGGAATAGAATTGATCCTGAGTTCTCGTTCTAATGCAATGATATCTACTGTCGTTGTGATAAACGCCTCTTCTGTCCCGTGAGGGGCTACGTTTCCAGTAAAAGTTTACTTTTTATGCTTGATGATTACTGAAAAACATGCACAATTTGTGTGTGTTGTCTTGTCAATATTATCCTCATAATGATAACTCATTCTGAAAGAAAATATTATTATTCAGAAATGCATGGCCGCCGAGCATGAAAGAAGCTTACATTTCACCCTCTGTATAACATATACATTATCGCAGATGAATGTGATGGCTGGTCAGTAAAAGATTTTCAAGCATAAAGTGTTGTATGAGGATAAAATCTGCAGCTAAAGAGACAGAATCCAGCAGAGGACATGTAGTGGAAACCCAAGTTCAAGTTTGGAAAAGGAGCCGTGCATGTTTCGGAGACGGTTAAGTAAGAGCTTGTTCATGAACTTTTAAAGTAGACAATCACGTGTATCAAATCACTGTGGTATTTAAATTCCACTGAACGTGTATATGTGGAGGAACATTATGACATTTTAATTTTAAGACATGAATATTCTCTACAGACCAAAAATGCATCCTTTGCAACTCTAATTTCAAACCAAATGCATTACGTTCGTTTAGGAACGTGCAAAGTGTTGCATAACTGACCACCATGAAAGCAAGCATGTTTGTCTGCACTGCCACCTGGGCGTGTGCGTCCAGGGACTGAGAGGCGCTGCTCTTCCTTCTGCCCGGACACGCCGTCCACTTCCAGGCTCACCGGCTCCTGAACTCGTACAACTGGGATCTAACCTTGAGGAGTCAAACGATGATTTGGTCCTTATGAAAACCCAGCTGTTATTAAAATGTTTGCACCTTAACCTCTATCAATGATTTGCGACTGAGAGCAAATAAATGAGTTTATCATGTTTTTCCCCAAAGAAATGCTTTTGAAAGTGGAGAGCAGGGAGGGCGCCGAGGGCTTTAGTCTCCTTAGGGAAATGGGAAGTTGCCGTAGAAGGAAAAAACAATGCACAGAAAGTGAGGCCAGGGCCCCAGGGCTGTGGAGGAGACACCACGGCTTCAGCTTCTCTTCACGCCACGTCCGTGAAGGTGGGCAGAAACCCTTGCAGGATCCCTGAGTAGCCGGGACCTCGTGGTGAATGCAGCTGGGCCCCCGAAACTCATCTCACTGGTCTTACGCTTACCTGGAAGCATGACAGAGTCAGACTCACAACGACAGGTGTGCCCGGATGCCGGTAGCCAGGTTAAAATACAAGCCTAGCAGGAACGTTAGCATCTGACTCTACTTCAGGACCAAACAAATCAACGCAAGCTGTACGGCTGTGAGTAGATGCGTTAGGAGTGAGGCGAGGAAGAGGCGGTGGGCTGCTGGACAGACAGGGAAGGACTGGCTTGGTCTCTGGGCATCCTGGTGGTGTGTTCGTCCACGTGTTTAAGCAGGTTCACTGTGCTCGGGGCTGCCCGCACCTTCCAAGTGACAGGTGTATCAACGCATAGCAGAGCTCTGTGACTGGAAGCTGATTTTATTTTTTTAATTTTGTATTCATTTATTTGTTTTTCATTGAAGTATAGTCAACTTACAATGTGTTAGTTTCTGGTGTACAAATAGTGATTCATTCATACATATATATATACATGTATATACATTCCTTTTCACATTCTTTTTCATTGTAGGCCATTACAAGGTACTGAATATAGCTCCCTGTGCTGTACGGTATAAACTTGTCATTTACCTACTTTATACACAGTAGTGTATATCTGCAAATCCCAAACTCCCAATTTAGCTCTCCCCAACCACCTTCCCCCCAGCAACCATAAATTTTTTTTCTATGTCTGTGAGTCTGTTTTGTAAATAAGTTCATTCGTGTCCCTTTTTTTAGATTCCACGTAAGGCGGTGTCATATGGTATTTGCCTTCCTCTGTCTGACTCACTTCACTTAGAATGATGATCTCCAGGTCCGTCCATGTGGCTGCAAATGGCATTATTTTATTCTTTTCATGGCTGAGTAGTATTCCACTGTGTACATACTATGTCTTCTTTATCAGTCATCTCACCGTGGACTTTAAGGTTGGAAAGCTAGTTTTATTTCCATTCCTCCTTCCCATCAGGGAGAGGACCTCGCTAGACTGGGCTCTCACCCCTTCCAGGGGACGCTCCAGTGCCCTTCTGCTCCCTGGACCGTTCAGGCTGCATCAGGCTGGTCACTTTGCCAAGGGACTCACATGTGTGACGTACATCCACTGTCTCCTCCACCAGCAAAGTCCTTGGTGCCCCCTGTCCTGAGCCCTGTCAGGGGCTCTGTGCCATCAGTCGGTCCGGATGAGGTCAGGAGTAGGGAGGTACGGCCGTGTTTGCTCTCTGCCTCCTCGCCGGGAGGGGCTGGGTTCATGTGCCTGGTCTCCAGGAGGCCCTCCTTACAGCCCCTCTGCTAGGACGTCTGGGGAAGCAGCGTGTAGTTTTGCCTTTTCACTTGCCGAGTTGCTGAAACTCAGGCTCTGACTAGAGCGTGGAGGAGCGGGTAGACACACCTGGAGCCTGTTATCGAAAACCCCGCATTTAGAAAGGATCCTCTTTTCTCGGGCTTCTTTTCATGCATTCTGAGTTCCTGGGGCACATATGCAAATTGTCCTCCTGACCAACAGGTGTACGTATTTCTGCATTAAACCTGCTAGCCTGTAAGTCACACACACCAAAAAGCAAATTCCATTTGCTCGTGGCCTTCATTCAGAGCCTCCGTCTGTTGGGAAGAGCAGGTGAGGGTATGGGGGTGGAGGCCAGCTCTTTACCTTGATGACAACCAGGTGACATGAGCGACACTATTCTCGGGGCGTGGGGGGAGGAGGAGGAACGCTGCCTGCCATCACCTTCTTCCCTCTCCTGAAAGCTTCAGAGGCAGCCGTGACCTCCTCAAAGACGGCTGGCTTTCTCCAGTGAATTTCAGCAACCTGGGTTATAAATTGAGGTTTGAGGGCTGTGGGCAGCTTAGGGGTGGAGGAGATCCTCGACGCGAGGTGGGTCTGAAGGTGAACATGTCCAATTTCGACTTAACAGCAAGCTGAGCATTTGCTGTGTGGATTATCTGTGACCTACTTGAAATGCTGATCCACTTTGCTCGCCTCTGCCCCGGGCCAGTTCTCCCTCAACAGGGCAGATGTGCTGGGAAATGTAAACTCATTTTCGTAGGAGCCGAAGGGAAAATAAGATGGAAAGCAGATACACAGCGAAGACGCCCCCATAATATGCTCCTGAGTCACATGGAAATGATCTTGTAGCGTCAGGTCTTCGGGCGACTCAGGCCACTGCTGCCCTATACTTAGGAACTTTTGTCAGTAATTGATTGTTTCCGTTTAGCATGGGTTATGTTATTTCCTTCATGGCTTGAGCTACAACAGCCACATTTATAACGTAACCTCTCAACGCTCTCTTCCCCCTCCTCCCCCTGCCCTCACCCCTCCCCCGCCCTCCCTCGCAGGTGCACCATAGACGACAGGGTCACCCGGGTGGCCTGGCTGAACCGCAGCACGATCCTCTACGCCGGGAACGACAAGTGGTCCATAGACCCTCGTGTGATCATCCTGGTCAACACGCCCACCCAGTACAGCATCATGATCCAGAACGTGGACGTGTACGACGAGGGCCCGTACACCTGCTCCGTGCAGACGGACAACCACCCCAAGACCTCCCGGGTCCACCTCATCGTGCAAGGTGGGCCGGCCGGCTGGGGGCTCGGCGTGCCCGTCAGCGAGGCGGTGGGAGGGGGGCCTCATCTCAGCTGCGCTCCGGGTCGTGTCGGGAGGCACAAAGAGCCATTTCCTCTGCAGAGGCCGGAGACTGGTTGTGTGTGTCCTGGGCTCCTCCCACCTGCCGGGGTCTTGACTGAGCCCTGAGCATCTTTGCGAAGCTTCTCGGTTTTATGTCCAGTCGTTCTGTTGTCATTGTTAGGTTGTCTGGCTTGCCGAGCTGTGGGACAAGAGATGCGCTGTGTTACGCTGGGCGCACGTGGACATTTGGTGACCACAGCCCTCTGGGGCTGGGGCTGGGGCAGGGCGTGCCAGGGGACAGACAGGGTGTTGCTCTCTATGCTTTTGTTTTCCGGAGGCTGTGTCAGGGTAAAAGCTTCATGATACCGACGTGAAGTCTTGCGACTGTGCTTGCAGAGTTGTGGCTCTGCACGTTCCGGAAGGGGTCTCCCTGCGTTTGGCGCTCTCTCTTTCAGCCCCAGTGGAGCTGAGGTCAAGAGGGACATTGGTCAAAATGTCATCTCCAGGTCTAAGTTGGAAAAAAATATATGTAATTACAAACGTGGGTGGGACGGAGAATTCCTAACTTCCTCTTCCATCCTCTCTTAAAAAATCTGAATTAGTATAACCCACGCATCGTATTTCAGATTTTTTTCATTTGATTTTTACTTTATAGGAAAAAAAGGTGCTTGAAGAAATGTCAGAGTCTCAGATATCAACTGTCAGATGTTAAGAATTAAAAAGTCATGCAGAGAGCATTTGTGAGAACTGGGGGACCACCTTAGAACAAGGCAGCAATGCAAGTAAACTCACGTTAAACCTCCCCCTGCCAACACCCCCGTCGCCACGCGAAGCAGCTTCCAGCAGGTGCTGATCCATGGTGGCGGCGAGGCGCTAGGCGGACCGGCTCCCGCCCCTCAATGGCACAGCCTTCCTCCGCCAGGCGGGAGGCTGGGTGGACCTTCCTCAGTGTCTCCTGTGCTGGTGTCTCGGGCTGAGGCCCTGCGTGTCATGTAGCAACGTAAGTCCCTTTGTCAGATCCCGTCTGCAGTACATCCCACAGGGTTTTTTTCTGTTTCTGAATGTGTCTGGCATCCTTGCCTGGCTATTGTGGATTCCTTCTTCCTTGCCTTTCTTAACGTGTACATATAACTGTGCTCCTTCCAGGCGGTCTCATGGGGAGTTTGAGCAGGGGTTGGAGGCGCCCATGCTTGGTGATACACGCAAAGCAAGGTGCCCATTCTTTTCTGGCAGCGGGAGCAGCTCTGTGCTGGCACAGCACCGGGGCTGCGGCTCTGCGGCCTTTGTGATGCCCGTGCTGGGCCGGAGGTCTGTCTGCGGCAGCCTCTGCTCCCCGCCAGGCCCTGGTCCTGCCATGTGGCTCGAGGCTTTGCCTCCGTTCAGCCTCCAAGCCCTTCCCTCAGCCACAGGCTTTCAGACATGTGCACCTGCTTGCTCCACGGGGGTGTCTGTGCTCTGCCCCTTCTGTTCCCCACACATGTCCCGTTGGGGTGTGGCCTGGTGCTGATCACTGCCTCGGAGCTGAGACAGCCTGTTGTCTGGGGATGAGAACAGCTGGCAGGTGGGGTGCTTCCCCTCAGAGGCTGGTGGGGGCGCTGATCTGAGATGAGCGGGTTTGTGCGCAGAGAACAGGCCGTCTGCGCCTTCGCCACCCGCCGGCCACCCAGTCTCGGCTCCAGGTGGGGTGAGATTCTCCACATTGGAAGTGACGCCGCGGCGGCACCTCCGTGGCCTTGACAGCCAAGTTATCTTCAATTTCAGGGAATTCAGCTCTGAAATAAAAAAGAACTGTCAGGCACGGTACAGACACAGACTCAGACAGAAGGAGACCATCACTTTTCAGGAAATAAGAGAGTTTGTGGAAGCTCGTCAAGGCCGACACAGGCCGCGGACAGCTGGCGGCCCGGCGCTTCGGGGACGGTGTTGCACGCGAGGCGCCTGGAGCAGTTCCGCAGGCTGGAGGAGGAAGCCGGTCATGTCTCCCCATGGGCCTCAAAGCTCTGGGTCAGAAAGTCTGGGCAAGGGCAAGACCCAGAGGGACGGAGCCTCAGTCCCCAGGTCACATCCTCAAGGCTCCTCTTCAGGCCGAGTGGCTTCTTCGCCCTGGCTGTCGAGGCGGCCTGCGGAGCCCAGTGAGGAGGCCGGGAGGGCGGCGGCGGGAGGCGAGAAGCCTCTCTTGGAGGACGTAGCGGACTGGGCTTCACACTTCCTGAGGGCTCCGGGGGAGGAGCCCAGGGAGCTGCCGGCCCTCGTCCGGGTGACCAGCCGGCCGCCTCGCTCTTCCGTGGAGACCAGTTGGCTTCCCAGTGGGTGGCAGCAGGGAGCCCCGGGTCCCCCTTCTTCCCGGCAGCGACTGGCTAGTGTCCGGTCTACAGATTAACTCTTCAGACTCGATGTCGGTTCAGATCAGAGAAAGATAATGCAAGTTCCCTAATCCTCTTGAAGATTTATCTGACCGAGTAGAAGGCTCTTGGAATACAATAAGGCATGTATAAAACTGAGGCCTAATCTTGCCTTTAATTTCAACCTACTGATGGGTATTGATTTTGCAATGAGAAAAACTGAAAAATTTCCGAGCTGCAGCTTGTCTGCTTATATAAATTTTAAAAAGGTGTTTATTTATCTTCTGTCCATTTGAGAATGTTGGAATCTCATCACCCCTACCAGGCAAGTGCCGTTAGCAGGTGGGGGTCCTCTGGGCCCTGGGCTGCAGGTGGGGGCCCCCTGGGCCCTGGGCTTTGCTGCTTCCTTCTCCGACCGTGGGAGTAACATAGAGACGCTCTGTCCCTAACCTCAAGGCCTGCCCTCCCCTGTTCTAGGGTGGCCTTGCCACATACATGATGGGATTAATGTCCAAGCCCTTCTCTTTGAGAGAAGAAGCTGCATTCGTTACAGTAGGGTCACGGGTCCCCGAGGCCCCACTTGGCCCCTGAGGGCTCACTTGGAGGAGCCGCGTGATGGTGTGTGATTGCGTGGCTGAGACCGGACACCGAGGCATTAACCAGACGCAGGGGCTCAGGTTAGCCAGGGCAGGAAAACCCATCTGGCAGCCCTGTGTGGGGCGGGGACACATGGAGAGATGCTGGAGGCTCAGAGAAGGGCCGGAGGTCCCGCCGATCGCTCAGAAGGTGTGAGCAGAGCGGGCTGAGGGTCTGCCTGTAGGCGTGGAGAAGTTCCTTCAAGAGACTTTGTCCAAGGGGAGTTGAGAGGACTGATCCCAGTGCCTAGGGGGAGGGAGAATGAAAAGGCCTCCCCTTTCTGAGTTTGGGGAAGTGTTAGGTGGACTCTCGAGTGACTGCGGAGTCTGGGCCCCGAGCCCCTGGGACAGGAAAGCGTTAGGCTGGTGAGGTCGAGGGATAAAGAAAACACAGACATTGCACAGACATTCCAGAGCTAAGAAACAGGTGTAACTCAAGACGGGAAGGGGGTGTTTGAGAGTCATCGTGAGTTTACTAGCGTGGGCGTAGGTAAGTTTCGTGAGGTTAACTCTTCCTGGAGAGCAGCAGGAACCCCAGCCCAGAGCGCACTGTCTGACGCACCCCAGGCACTCAGCAAACCTTTGCAAGATGAGCGAAGGCTGGGCTGATCCAGCCGACGAGGTGGCACAGGGGGCAGTGGCCATCGAGTCCCTTTAAGCAGATGGGACGGGAGTAGGGAGTCAGACCACCCAGGTGGCCTGGCGAGGACTGAAACCAGGATGGAGCTCTTCCACGGAACAAGCTGAGAGACTTGTTATAACAGGGTTGACATGCGTGCCACGGCTTTATTAATACTTCACAGCCCCGGTCGCGATCTTTGTCTCCTGTGACCCTCACAACACGCCCTGGGAGGTCTCGGGGCCCTGACTGTTATCTTCATTTTGCAAATTAGGTAACTGCAGCTCTGGGAGGTTGAGAGACCAGCCAGGGGGCCCTGTGCGTATGGAGCAGAGCTGGCCTAGAAGCCCAGCCATGTGACTCCGAGACCAGTGTCTCCCAGCTTACCACCCCACCCCTCACTGCCAACCACATCTCAAGTCAGTTCTCTAATCGAGACCCATGGGGACTTTCCAGTCATCCTTTCTTTCCCCTCTTTTTCCTGCTACTGAAATTGCATTGCATCAGCAGAAATTGAGGACAGAGCTCAAGAAAGGAAATCCGCAGTGGGGAGCAGGGGTGGGGTGCCAACCCTACAGTAGGTGGTGCAGAGCGGTCTGAGGCAGAGGCAGAGAGGAAGATAATTAATTTACTAGCAGCTCACCCCTCCAGGGATGCACATCCTAAATGTTCCCTCTTTACCCTACGCAAGAACTGAAAACGCTGGCCCCTTGGAGAATCCGGAATCTAATTGTCATTCTGAATGTCAGGACCCTGTCAGCATTCCAGAGGGTGTGGGTGCCCTCCCACTGCAGGAGTTGTTGTCTCTGTCGGGGAAGAGAGGCGGGAAGGCCTGGTGCATCCTTGCCCCTTGGATGCTGGTGTTCTCTGTCTGCTCTCTTGGGTAGCTCAAAACTCTGTTTACTACCAGACACTTCCTCTCACGGAAGATTCTTGTTCAGGCCAATTTTAGACAAAGGGCTAGAAATTTTAGACACCTGAGACTTCCCAGCAAGTCTATGTGGTTTCTGTGTCTGCAAAAGACACTGGGGCTTTGAGCCTGCAGTCGGTTCAGTGCCAGAGTCTGGTTTAGCAGGTGAAGTCTGACTCTCCCGCGGGCCCAGCCCCAGGCCTGTGAGGGTCAGCCAAGCCCTGCGCGGGCTCAGGGAGCGTGAACGACCTCGGCCGAGCCTCGCAGCAGCCCGCCAAGTTCACGCCCAAGTCACATCTTACAAGGAAACTAAGGCTCAGAAAGAGTGAGAACTCACCCATGGATGATGGAGCCACCAAATGCTTTCAGTTCCTTCGCTGGGCTTGTCTCTAGGTGAAAGCCATCAGAATGCACACAGCTAAAGCCTCGGCAAGCCTC